CCGGAGCGGCTTGTGGAAGCTCCATGTATATTGCGACGAAGGGTTCTAAATACCAACTCCTGCGTGACGCGGCCGGGAGGGTCCCGCGCTGCCCCCGTGCGGTGCCGGACCGATGCACCCGACAGTTGGCGCCGTTGCCGAGGATAGCGGAAAGCCTACCGTTGTCCTTGGTGGAACGACATCTGAGTATGAGAAGTGAATAAGAAAAGGCATAAAGGAGTGATGAGAAGGTAATGAAGGAATATATGAATGACTAAGTGTAGGTGAGGAAATTTACCTACCTAAGTAGAGGAAGTATGAAGGACGATCGTGTTAACATTGGGTAAAGTAAGTATTAAGGGTTAGGTAGGACGGATAGAATAGACTGGTCAAGGTATAGTGTTGAATAAAAAGGGTGTGCTTGTTTTCTTTTGCCAGGGAACTTAAAAAGAAGAGGCTTAGAAGATGCCTGAGACTGGCGGCGCATCAGCTGTTCCCAAGAAGGGCCTGACACTCGATGACCTCATCGCGGCCATCGACCATGAAAGGAACCCGAGCAACATCCCAAAGGTCGATACTTTCCATTTCTGTGGGGAGAGAGTCTCAGAATGGCTAGAGCGGGTGGAACAAGCTTTGGTCGGGCGGCCGGATGTTGTAAAGTTTCAACGCATCCTTCAGTATGTCCTCCACATCTACCATCAGGAGGTGAAGAAAGTCATAGATGCCGCTCAAGGTAGCTGGGAGAGGTTCAAGGAGGGGAGCAGGTAGGTTCGAAGAGCCCATTGCCAGGATTCATAGGGAGGCGACGACGAGGCAGGAGGTGGAGATGAGGATAGAGGAGTTGCGACCCTCGCCTATGGGACCTGATGGCAGGCCGATCCGCCTGGAGATTGGAAATGCGTCGGACTTCATCCCCGCGTTTGAGTGGTTCATGCAAGAGCAGGGCATACAGAGAGATGATTGGATGCAGACACTACCACTCACGACCAGGAAGGCGGAAATGCCACTGGTTATGCAGATCAGGGACATGGCACGAGATTGGGAGAGCTGCAGGGCACATTTGAGAGAGGCCTTTCGACGGCCAGAGCTCCCTCAGCCGAGAGTCGAGAGGCGGGAGAGGAGTCAGAGGCCGATGGACCCTGAGCCCAGGGAGGCGAGACCATCTCGAGGAGGACGGAAGRCCCTAGCCAGGAGAGAGCAAGAGCCAGAGGATGAGGAGCGAGGGGCATACCCTGAGTGTGGGTTGGGGCTAGTGGAGTTCCATCGTTTTACTGAGGGTGGATTGAGGAGGTCGCCAGCACACACACAGGGGGAGCCACCAGCGTCAGAGGGGCCCTTGAGGGAATTGGAGATGCATTTAGATATTTCTCGGTGGACGGCGTCGCTTCAGGGTGAGGGGCATGGAGAGCAGGCAGAGGAGGTGTCACGAGAGAAGGTGCCACGAGAGGAGGTGCGACAGGGGGAGACACCACGAGAGAAGATGCCGCGGGGGAGGTACTACAGGAAGAGGTCCGGGGTACTCAGCGAGAGAGAGGGCTGGGCGATGAGGGGAGACGTGCAGGGAAGGAAGTGATAGAGGTTGGAGAGGATACGCTCCTACAGACGCCAGCAGTGGGTTTGAGACTCGGGGATGCACCAGGGAGCACCCGGCAGGCAAAGGAGGGGTTGCAGAGAGAGGAGACCCCTTTACCTTCGTCAGAAAAAGCTCCTTCGCCAGAAGGGAGGGCAGAAAGAAGGAGAGAGAGGGCAGCTGTAAGGAGAGAAGCTTTGATCCTGATTGATAGGCACCTAGTAGCTCATGCCCTGGAGCACCCAGACCTGGAGGAGCCAGCACCTGCAGAGTCACGCCAGGAGTCATGCCATCCCGAGAAGGAGATGGAAGCAGAGATCCCAAATAGGGTCGACCTCCGCACGAGGGAAAGGGTGCCAGCTGGAGAGACGGCCGAAGAAAAGAGGGCGAGAGGAACCAGGAGGATAGATGAGATATGGCAGGAGAGCAGAGGTTGGAGGCAGCGGGGAGCTCCCGGAGCAGCAGCAGGAGAGGCAGAGATCGGAGGCAGAAGGAGCACTCCCGGGTCAGCCACCCAGCGCGCCAGCCAAGGCCCCGGAGATTCCTGTGATGTGGAGAGACTTCTGGGAGCAGAGAGGAGAGGAGCTTCCATCGCCAGTCAGAGCCGGGTTTGGGGTGGCCAGGAAGACGGAAGAAAGGTTAGATCGTAAAATCAAGTTCCTGACCAAGACCACCTTTGACCGGCACTTGTTAATTGAGGGCGATCTGGCGGGGAAGAAAATGAAGGAAGCCAGCCATGGAGTACGTCTGGAGGCTATGGAGATGGAAATTCAGGAACTTAGGGCTTTGGTGGCCAGCTAGGCAGCTATCATTGAGATCCTGAGGCAGCAAACCCAGGGAAAGGTGGACAGACCAGAGAGCAGCCGACAGGGAGAGCAGAGGCAGCCAGGACAGGGATTGCCAGAACAGCCATCTGCGACAGAGCCTCGCTAGGAGCCACCTATGGGGAGGGTCATCCTGGAGTCAGAGCAGGCGAGAGCACAGAGACAGGCGGAGAGAGAGGCGTTCGAGTTCAGAGCCCCTACCGAGCTCGCGACACTGCCAGTAGCAGCGGCGGGCCCAGTCATACCTTTGGCAGTAGAGGAGGGGCTGCCACCATCTAGCAGTGAGCCGGCTCAGGGCTCAGTAGAGGAATCCATGGGCGTGCTCCTTGAGACGGTGCATACTATGCAGGAGGAGGTGAGTTTGTTTTCACCTTAGCAGAGGATAGAGGAGCCTCTTGAGAGAGAGATGGGGATTGAGGAGGAGGGTGCCATTGAGGGCAGACTCCAGAGGATAGGTACACCTGAGTATGGACCAGAGGAGATTGAGGAGCAACCCACGGCAGTGCCAGAGGTGACACTCGAGAGGAGGCCTCAGAGGTTGGACACGCCCGAGTACGTTGTCGAGCGCACAATCGGTCCGGCACCGCACGGGGGCAGCGCGGGACCCTCCCGGCCGCGTCACGCAGGAGTTGGTTTTTACAACCCTTCGTCGCAAATATACATGGAGCTTCCACAAGCCGCTCCGGCCGGGTGCGCCAGCCATACCTCTCGCGAGCCCCTACGACAGGATAGGGCCTAAGCGAGGCACGACTTACCTACA